AAGAAGAAGAAGAGGAGGAGGAGGAGGAGGAGGAGGAGGAGATCGGATTTATACCCCGCCCTTCCCTCAGCGTCTCAGAGCGGCTTACAATCTCCTTTCCATTCCCCATACCACAACAGAGGTAGGCAGGGTTGAGAGAGCTCTGAGAGAACTGCCTTTGAGAGAACAGCTCTGAGAGAACTTGTGACTGACCCAAGGTCACACCAGCAGCTGCATGTGGAGGAGGAGGGAATCAAACCTGGTTTTCCCGGATTAGAGTCTGCGCTCTTAACCCATTACACCAAACTAGCTATCCAGTGGTACTCACCACTGACCTCACATTCTCTTTCAGTTACCCCCAATCCCACCATAAGGGGCACCACTATAGTGGGAGACCTCCCAGCTGCCCTCCCCCCATTCCCTGCCACCACTTAACAGGCCACGGGGGGGGGGAATGAAGGGGGCTCCTCGACATTGTGTCAATGTGTGACCTGTTTTCTGTCAAAAAACCAGAAGTGGCATCACTGTGCGTGAGTGACACGCTAGGATTCACCTGAAACTTTATGGTTTATCCATGTTGTCTGGGGTAGATCCTAAAGTGTCCCATCGGCACAATGTCGAGAGGAAGAAGAAGAAGAGGTTGGATTTAGACCCCGCCCTTCACTACCCAAAGGAGTCTCAGAGCGGCTACAAACTCCTTTCCCTTCCCCTCCCCACAACAGAGACCCCGTGAGGGAGGTGGGGCTGAGAGAGCTCTTGACAGAAATGGCTCTTTTTCAAGGACAGCTGTGCCAGAACTATGGCTTGCCCAAGGTCATCCAGCAGGTGCAAGTGGAGGAGTGGGGAAGAAGGAGGAGGAGATTGGATTTGTACCCCGCCCTTCCCTACCCAAAGGAGTCTCAGAGTGGCTGACAAACACCTTTCCCTTCCCCTCCCCACAACAGACACCCGGTGAGAGAGCTCTGACAGAAACTGCTCTTTTTCAAGAACAGCTCTTATCAGAACTACGGCTTGCCCAAGGTCATCCAGCAGGTGCAGGTGGAGGAGAGGGGAATCAAACCCGGTTCTCCCAGATTAGAGTCTGCACACTTAACTACTTAACCACTGTTCCCAACCCCACCCACCACCCTCGGTGCCATCAGCAAGAAACCTCCGCCCGCTGACATCCTCATGCCCACCTAGCTCATGTGGCAGTTCGTGGCACAACACTGCCAGGGAGGTGGCCAGCCCGGTTTTCCATGAGGAAGAGAACGCGGCCCCGATGGCCAGCCCGTCGGCAAAGTTGTGGATGGCGTCCCCAATGGTGATCATGTACGGCAGCATCATCATCTCTGTGGGAGGAAACAGGGGATCATGTCAGCGTGGGTGGGACCCAGTGTTCCCTCTAAGCTGAGTTAGTGTGAGCTGGCTCACAGTTTCTTAGCCTCCAGCTCACACATTTTTCTCTTCGCTCAGGAAGGAGGGCTCCGGAGCAAACTGATTAATGCAGTAGCCAAATCCCTCGCTCACAAGTTTGGTGCCAGTAGCTCACAAAGTAGAATTTTTGCTCACAAGACTCCACAGCTTAGAGGGAGCGTTGGAGGGATCCTGTATCATTTCCCCTCCCTGCCAGCGCTCTCAGCACGGCAGAAGCGGCACCCCGGGGCTGCTTCTGGAAAGCAGAGGCTAATGCTGGAGGCTTCCTGAGCTGCCAGCAACCCTCCCGAGGGGACCCAGGGAATTCAATCAGTAACACAAAACGCCATTTGTTATTTAGACTTTACAAGAGCTGTGTGAGGAGTGGCCCAGTGGCCTAATGGATAAGGCATCAGCCTCCGGAGCTGGGGATTGTGGGTTCAAGTCCCACCTGGGTCGATATCCCATTCTTTATTTAGTGTCACTTTTTTTTCTTCCAAATGTATGAATGGCCACAGAAAGGGCCATGCCCTGCCATCGCGGGCAACAGGGGCAAGTGAAAGGTGGCAGATAGGTGGAGCTACGGCGCTCCAGAGAACCTAATACATAGATAAATAAGGTTGGCAGGGTGAACATGGAGGGGGATTGTTGAGGCTTTTCTGAGATGTGGGGAACAGGCAAGATGTGCTTGGAGTACATCACAAAGACAGTTTCAGGTGGATAGCCATGTTAGTCTGTAGTAGGGCACTCCATGAAATTGCTGAACAGTGGAGTTAGAATGGATAAAAGGAAGTCCTTCTTCCCCCAAAGGGTGATTAACACGTGGAATTCACTGCCACAGGAGGTGGCGGCTACAAGCATGGACGGCTTCAAGAGGGGATTGGAGAAACAGATGGAGCAGAGGTCCATCAGTGGCTATTAGCCACAAGGTATAGACAGGGACTCTCGGTCTGGGGCAAGGGATGCTCTGTCTTCTTGGTGCTGGGGGGGGCAACAGTGGGAGGGCTCCTAGTGTCCTGGCCCCACTGCCGGACCTCCTGATGGCACCTGGTATTTTTGGCCACGTGTGACAGAGTGTTGGACTGGATGGGCCATTGGCCTGATCCAACATTGGCTTCTCTTATGTTCTTATACAGAGCAGAGGTCCATCAGTGGCTATTAGCCACAAGGTATAGACAGGGACTCTCAGTCTGGGGCAAGTGATGCTCTGTGTTCTTGATGCTTGGGGGGGGGGCAACAGTGGGAGGGCTCCTAGTGTCCTGGCCCCACTGCTGGACCTCCTGATGGCACCTGGTATTTTTGGCCACTGTGTGACACAGAGTGTTGGGCTGGATGGGCCATTGGCCTGATCCAACATTTGGCTTCTCTTATGTTCTTATCAGTGGCTATTCGCCACAAGATACAGATAGGAACTCCCAGGCTGGGGCAAGGGATGCTCTGTGTTCTTGGTGCTTGGGGAGGGGGCAACAGTGGGAGGGCTTCTAATGTCCTGGCCCCACTGCTGGGTGGACCTCCTGATGGCACCTGGTATTTTTGGCCACTGTATGACACAGTGTGTTGGACTAGACTGGCCATTGGCCTGATCCGACACTGGCTTCTCTTATGTTTCAAGAACAGCTAGGTTCAAGTCCAAAAGCACCTGAGAGCCCAACACAGCGAGCTTTGACTCTTGAAAGCTGATACCCAAAAACCTTGTTGGTCTCTAAGGTGCTACTAGACCCGAATCTAGCGAAATATACCCTGTGAGTGGCCAAGCACACAATAAAGCGTTGCTTTTGCCTGCATGAATTCTGGGGGCGGGGTGCCTGGCCCTCCGGACTGGATACATCAAAGCCACGGGATGCAAACCACAGGCACTTCCCTCCGGCACCTGCACCCGAGGAGGGAGCAAATACTGAAGTCAACGCATTGGGGAAAAGGGGGGGTCTAAGGGAGCACGTCTTTGGCCCTTAGGGGCATTTCAGGGAAATCTCAAGGAGGAGTCTGGTAGGCACAACGCTTCCTCACCTCGGGTGCGCTCTTTCTTCCGCATCGGGTTGAAATCGACCTCCTCCGCACCCACCTGGAAGAAGAAGAGACAGATGGAGAATGTGAGGAGACCCCAGCTGAAGTTCAGCTATAAGCTCTGGACAGAAGGTGCCTGCCTTTCCGGGCGGATCAGTTTCCAATCCTCGGTTGGTCAGTTTCCCAAGCCTCCCCTTGAGAGCAAACCCAGCGGGGGGGGGGGGGAGCTGCCCAGGGCGGTCTCCCCACCAGATTTCTGGTCTCATTGCTGCTAGAATCCTTCCTACACAGTCAGGGTTTTGCATAATGGATCCACATTTTAAAACTTGGTTTGTTGCACTCAATCTAAGCCCACCGGCTACTTTTTCCAGAATTCAACATTGTGCCTGGGAAAATACAATTCTCCCTCAGGTCCACTGTCATGGCATGTGCAAATCCCCAAGATGTCACTCTTTATGTATTTTTATGTACTCTGTTTTAGTATTTTATCACTATTACAAGCCACCTCGAGTTTCGTAAGGAAGGAAGTTGGCTAATAAGCATTTTTTAATAAATAAAAATGAAAAATTTAACAGACAGGATCTTTGAGGTCTTTAATGGTGAGCAATGCTCAAGTGATTAAGACGCTGAACTGCAGGCTGTGGAAGGTCGGTAGTTCAGCAGTTCGAGACCCAGGGTGCCGCATGATGGAGTGAGCTCCCGTCTCTAGTTCCAGCTCCTGCCAACCTAGCAGTTTGAAAGCAAGAAATTGCAAGTAGATAAATAGGTACCCCTTCGGTGGGAAGGTAACAGTGTTCTGTGCACCTCGGCTTTCAGTCATGCCGGCCACAATTACCACGGAAACGTCTTCGGACAGCGCTGGCTCTTTGGCTTGGAAACGGAGATGAGCACCACAACCCTAGAGTCGGATTTGACTGGTTTTCGAGCAAGGGAACCTTTACCTTTAATGCCACATTTTCTCCATGTCCCCACATTAATTTTGCAAACTAGGGTTCAGAGATTGATCAAGATGGCGGGCCGTGTTAGTCTCTCTGTAGCAGCAGAAAAGAGCAAGAGTCCGGGAGCACCTTAAAGACTAACACAATTGGTGGGAGGGTATAGAGAGCTTATAAAAGGTTTCTGCTTACCAGCCCCATAGCTAGGGATTTTGGGGGGGAGGGGACCTGGGGGGGGCTCAGCTAATTAAATCAATCACATTAATTAAATTTGGTACTGGCCTGGGAGAGTGGGGGCCTGGAATAAATGCTAGGGGGCCAGGCCCCGCAGGCCCCACGTTACCTACAGGCGTGCTGCTTACCCGGCAATATATATTTTTTTTGGTTAATGATGAAATGCCACCCGAACAAGCATCCCCCGCTGCATCCCCCGCCCTAGTCCAATGCAGGAAATTCACAAATACACCCCCAATGACCCCTGTTCCATGCCCAGAAGATGTTAAAACTATCATTATTATTTTATTTTAATTTGTTGAAGAAGGCCCACGCTGACATTCCTCTTGGCAAGCAATAGAACCACTCCCCCCCTCACCCCCAGCACGTTATTTCTTCTCTGTCCATTAGGTGGAGCTAAGACCACAAGCTTTCCCCACTGACTCAGCGCTTGCAAGAGGTCTTGCGCCACGGAGGAAAGTTCCACTGTGGGGAACTCCCTGATCTGCCTTCTAAAGCAATTTGTCCCACCTGCCTTGAAATCAGCTGGTGGTCCTGGACTGTTCAAGAAGCCCTCCCTCCCCCCAATCTCTACCGATCTGTGGGTAATCAGAGATAAGATCTCTGCTATTGTATGCATGGCCATTGTCTCTAGGATAAGAGGAGCAAAGTGTTCACAGACACAAGAGCAGTTCCTGGTTTTATTACTGACTGCATTTTTAACCCCACGTTTCTCTCTCTAATCCAGTACTTTACACACAGAGGGGTTAGAATGTAGAATTCGCTGCCAGAGGATGTAGTGATGGCCACAGGAATAAACAGATTTAGAAGGTAATTAGATAAAATTCATGGAGGATATCAGTGGCTACTGGCCATGGTGACTGAGGCACTAAAGCCTCTGAATCCCAGAGCCAGGAGGCAACATCAGGGGAAGGCCTCAGCCTCTCTGCCCTGTTCTTGGCTGTCCAGAGGAACTGGTTGGCTGCTGTGTGAGATAAGAGGCTGGACTAGGTGGACCCTCCCTGGTCTGATCCAGCAGGGCTCTTCTTATGTCCTTATCAGGGGAAGGCCTTGGCCTCTCTGCCCTGTTGCTGGCCCTCCAGAGGAACTGGCTGGCCCCTGTGTGAGACGGGAGGCTGGACTAGAGGGACCCTCCCTGGTCAGATCCAGCAGGGCTCTTCTGAGGTTCTGGTCAGGGGAAGGCCTCGGCCTCTCTGCCCTGTTGCTGGCCCTCCGGAGGAACTGGCTGGCCCCTGTGTGAGACGGGAGGCTGGACTAGAGGGACCCTCAATGGCATGATCCAGCAGGGCTCTTCTGAGGTTCTTCTCAGGGGAAGGCCTGGGCCTCTCTGCCCTGTTGTTGGCCAGCCAGAGAATCTGGTTGGCCACTGAAATATACTGAGTTTGAGACGTGTATAGTGATCAGCTAATAGTTTATTAGTGATTTCAACTTAACTCTAAGCCAACTCTAGCAGGGCTGGAGCCCTGCTTATATGCATGCAAAACACCCCACACACCGCCACACACACACTCCCCGTGATAGGCTATTACAAAACATTACTCATTGATTGGTTTATTCCAGAGTCCTGGTCGGCTATTGTTCTCAGGCTCCAAGCTCAGCCAGTCTCTAGGGTGATTCAATCAGGGATGATTCAATCCCAATACATAACACGGGATGCTGGACTAGATGGACCCTCACTGGTCTGAACCAGCAGGGCTCTTCTGATGTACTTCTCAGAAGAAGCACTCGACCTCTGTGCCCTGTAGTTGGCCCTCCAGAGGAACTGGTTGGCCCCTGTGTGAGACGGGATGCTGGACTAGATGGACCCTCACTGGTCTGACCCAGCAGGGCTCTTCTGATGTACTTCTCAGAAGAAGCGCTCGACCTCTGTGCCCTGTAGTTGGCCCTCCAGAGGAACTGGTTGGCCCCTGTGTGAGACGGGATGCTGGACTAGATGGACCCTCACTGGTCTGACCCAGCAGGGCTCTTCTGATGTACTTCTCAGGGGAAGGCCTCGACCTCTGTGCCCTGCTGTTGGCCCTCCAGAGGAACCATCTGGCCACTGTGTGAGACGGGATGCTGGACTAGATGGACCCTCACTGGTCTGAACCAGCAGGGCTCTTCTGATGTACTTCTCAGAAGAAGCGCTCGACCTCTCTGCCCTGTAGTTGGCCCTCCAGAGGAACTGGTTGGCCCCTGTGTGAGACGGGATGCTGGACTAGATGGACCCTCACTGGTCTGACCCAGCAGGGCTCTTCTGATGTACTTCTCAGAAGAAGCACTCGACCTCTGTGCCCTGTAGTTGGCCCTCCAGAGGAACTGGTTGGCCCCTGTGTGAGACGGGATGCTGGACTAGATGGACCCTCACTGGTCTGAACCAGCAGGGCTCTTCTGATGTACTTCTCAGAAGAAGCGCTCGACCTCTCTGCCCTGTAGTTGGCCCTCCAGAGGAACTGGTTGGCCCCTGTGTGAGACGGGATGCTGGACTAGATGGACCCTCACTGGTCTGACCCAGCAGGGCTCTTCTGATGTACTTCTCAGAAGAAGCGCTCGACCTCTGTGCCCTGCTGTTGGCCCTCCAGAGGAACTGGTTGGCCCCTGTGTGAGACGGGATGCTGGACTAGAGGGACCCTCCCTGGTCTGACCCAGCAGGGCTCTTCTGGTGCTCTCCAGTGGGGACCCAAGGTGGCTTACCGCATTTTCCCTTTCTCCATTGCATTCCCACAACAACCTTGTGAGGTATGGTGGGCTGAGAGCATGTGACTGGCCCAAGGTCACCCTCCGAGCTTCCATGGCAGAGTGTGTGCGTCATCTGTTAGAGGGTAGACTATGATGGAAAGAGACACCCCTGGGTTGAGACTGGTTAAGAGCTGAGTTGCCATCTCTGGGTTGGGAAATTGCTGGAGACTCAGGGGGCGGAGCCTGGGGAGGGCGGAGTCTCGGGGAGGGGCGAGAGCTCACCGGGGATGTGATCCCCTGAGAGGGCCCGCCCTCTAAAGCAGCCATTTCCTCCAGGAGAACGGAACTCCGTAGTTCTGACATCAGTTGTACTTCCAGATCTCCAGGCCCCACATGGAGAGGTTGGCACGCAAGCCTAGTTAAGAGGCTGACATTTCAGCAGTCGGGGGTGGGGTGGGGTGGGGTAACGACACCCCCTAGTTGATACATCAAGACAGTCTAGCAAATTACCAGGTCAGCCTGAGACGCTCCTTTCTCTTGCTTCCTCCTCTTCATCTCATCTTGGTACAGCTGCAGGGACATGCCGTGGTCACACTGGTGGCCCTTGCCGGGTACCTCCTGGGGAGAGAGGAAAAAGAGGGGGGGGAGCATTTCAGCAAGGCTGGGCCCTCCGCCTCTTCAAAATGCGGGGCTCTGGACCAGAAAAGGCAGGCGAGTGAGCAAGATAACACTGCTTCTGACCATGTCCAGAGAGACTGGAGCGGTGGCACAGTGGGTATATCCCACTGTCTTAACATCCGAACTGTGTCAGTTCGAGCCCCGCACTGGTGTGAGCTGCCAGCCTGTTGTCCCCAGCTCATCGTCCACCCAGCGATTTGAAAGCCTCGGCGAGTAGATAAAATGGGAACCACTCCTTAGAGAGGGTGGGCACACTAACTTCCCCTCTGGGAAAGGTGTTAGCTGTCGGTTGGGGACGTCCTGGTCCAGGATCCGGAAGGCGGAAGATCTACTCGGCTACAAAAAAATCCCTGCAGTGGCAGTGTGGTGACTTGACATACGGGTCCTGAAAGTCCCAACGTCATCAAGCCGGTCGACGCAGCCGTTCGGGACATGACTGAGCCAAGCCAGAAACATTTCCACCGTGCAGTTACGGCGTGTGCAATTAAAATGAATTATATGTTGTCTTCCCTATCCCCTATGAAACATTGTTAGTCCCCTGTCTAATGAGTAACTGTAAATCACTTTGAGCCCACTTGTGGGGAAAGCAATTAATAAATCGAAAGCAGCAGCAGCAGCAGACTGCTAACCACCAGAGCTGGGCTGTGTCAGGCTCCTGGGACGAAAGGAAAAGGACTTCCGAGCCAGAGAATACTGGTCTCAAGCAAGGACAAATGATATTTTGGTGGGAGCAATTAATTTGGTGGGGGCAGGACAAGATGGCACAGTATCTCCAGAAGATTAGCTGTAGAATTGCAACTCAAGGAAGGAGGAGGAGGAGGGGGAGGAGGGAGTGGTGATTAGATTTATACCCCGCCCTTCACTCAAGAGTCTCAGAACAGTTTACAAATTCCTTTCCCTTCCCCTCCCCACAGCAGACACCCTGGGAGGGAGGTGGGGCTGAGAGAGCTCGACAGAACTGTCCTTGAGAGAACAGCTCTGACAGAACTATGGCTTGCCCGAGGTCATCCAGCAGCTGCGAGTGGAGAAGTGGGGGAATCAAACCCGGTTCTCCCAGATTAGAGTCCGCGCACTTAACCACGACACCAAACTGGGTCTCGACTGCTGGCTGTGCCATAATCCCATGTGGGCTGTGCATGCACACACACCGAGCATCATGTCCCATCCGACTCTTGCAGTCAGCTCTATCCGAGGTCTACTACAGGGAGCACTTCCTTTGTGGTGTCTCTCGGCTGCTGTCTGCAGTGCAGGGGGCCCTTCCCCACCGCCTGAGTAAACGGGCACCCGAAGTCACTTGCCAACTCACCTCGCAGTCCGAGTGTCCCAAAAGAATGAAGAACTTCTCCAGGAGAAAAAAGAGGTAGAACCCGCCCAGTACGGCAAGAAGCTTCCAGAGCACATTGGGATCTTCGGCTTCGTGGTGGTCGTGCGTGTGGCCCTCACCATGGGAATGCAGGCCCAGGAACTGCAGGAGTAAAAGTATGATTGGAGAACAAAGCAAAAGGAACAGAGGCCTGCTTCATCTCTGTGACTAGCTATGTGCAGTCAGATAAATCTGCCCTGTATTATCAGACGAAGAGCCCAAGCAGAATATGGAATGCGATGGGCACAACTATGCCCATTGTCAATGTGATGGCTTCTATGGGCTACCAGCTTTCCTTGCTCCTGTGCTTGTTTTCACGCTCCAGTTTGCCTCTGTACCTGACCCATGATGGAAGGAAGTTGTGGTATGTGTCTTAATGTTTGCATTTCTTTAAAAAAGACACTCTGAAATAAATGCTAAAGCAAAACTGCAAGCTATCATGCCCAAGGGATGGCGAGCTTACCCACTTCTCCTCCCTGTAATGATTCTTTAGATAACAAGACCCAACAGCCATGTTATGTGCACAAAGCTCAGGCTTCAAGCACTCAATATATACGAAACAAAATATAGCACACAAAAATAAAAAGAGTACACATGGTCTATTGAAGCCTCAGGCGGAATATGGGTACAAAGAAAAGGTGAAAACCCACAGTCCTCTGACCCTAACCTCTATGTTTATTCTAGCAATGTTGTTGCTAGGACAGGCTAGCAAAGCTGGAACACTAGGTGAGCCTTCGGGGAGGACGGGATACAAATCCAAATAAATAAATAAATAAATAGGTCCAGCATTACCTCTGCTCTCAGAGGTGCGACTTATCCCATTGTCCCTTGCCATGGGGACAAGATGCGGTCCTTAGGTAAAAGTTAAATCCTTCATGGCTTGTGCCCATCCAAAGAGGAGCAATGTTATGTTATGTTATGTTATGTTATGTTATGTTATGTTATGTTATGTTATGTTATGTTATGTTATGTTATGTTATGTTATGTTATGTTATGTTATGTTATGTTATGTTATGTTATGTTATGTTATGTTATGTTATGTTATGTTATGTTATGTTATGTTATGTTATGTTATGTTATGTTATGTTATGTTATGTTATGTTATGTTATGTTATGTTATGTTATGTTATGTTATGTTATGTTATGTTATGTTATGTTATGTTATGTTATGTTATGTTATGTTATGTTATGTTATGTTATGTTATGTTATGTTATGTTATGTTATGTTATGTTATGTTATGTTATGTTATGTTATGTTATGTTATGTTATGTTATGTTATGTTATGTTATGTTATGTTATGTTATGTTATGTTATGTTATGTTATGTTATGTTATGTTATGTTATGTTATGTTATGTTATGTTATGTTATGTTATGTTATGTTATGTTATGTTATGTTATGTTATGTTATGTTATGTTATGTTATGTTATGTTATGTTATGTTATGTTGTCTTTCAAGAGCTGTCTGCCTGTCTGCAAACCTCTGCACTTCGGCAGCTTACCACAGGTGTCTTGCAAAGAAGTTGAGTTCAGAGGCTTTCTTAAGGAATTCTGACTGGGTGAGCCACCATGCTAGGGAGCCCATCTATCGAAGCCCATAGGGGCTCAGATATTAAACAGGTCCCTTAAACTGTCCCTTTAATATCACCTGGATTTGCAGCAATCATCAGGTGATATTTATTCAGTTGCAGACCGTGAAAAGCTCTGCACATTAAACCTCTATGAAAGAGCTGCAACGTTTTTTCCCCAACCACAAATCCTAAATTAAACTTAATGGCCTTTAACTGAATACACAATCTGAATCACATTGTCTGGCTATATTTTGCAATACTAAATACATCCATGACCACACAGAACAGGAAGTATGAACAGCAGGGACGGCTGACATCACACAAGAACAAAAATAGCAACCTGACGGATCAAATGAAATGTGTTTATTTTTGTCATTTAAATTTTTTTTTGCTTTGTTTATTTTATGGGGGGGACTTCCACTGGACCACTGTAGCGCAGAACAGGGGGTGGGGGGACAGCCTTGTAATTACAAGGGTTGCCAAGGTTTCAACCAGTCTCTCCAGCTGTCCCATACTTATCACTTTAATCTGGAGCAATTATCGAGGTTATTTACCTCCATGCCATGACAGTCTTCAACTGTCCATTCCCACGCATTCAAGGTCTGTTAAGGCGGAAGAACCTCTTTTTTCCTGGCCAGTTGGCAAACTTAACTGAGAGCCAGTTTGGTGTAGTGGTTACTAGTGCAGACTCTAATCTGGGAGAACCAGGTTTGAGTTCCCACTCCTCCACTTGCGTCTGCTGGAGTGACCTTGAGTCAGTCACAAGTTCTCTCAGAGCTGTTCTCTCACGAGCAGTCCTCGAAAAGAGCGCTCTCAGCCCCACCTACCTCACAGGGTGTCTGTTGTGGGGAGGGGAAAGGAAAGGAGTTTGTAAGGCACTACTTCGGGTAGTGAAGGGCAAGGTATAAATCCAAGTGTTTTTAGAATATGGGGTGGGGGTCTTACACAGCAAGGCTTCTAACTGGCCACGGAAGTTCTCATCAGCTATGCAGATTAAAATAACATTGTTTCAGTAGCAGCCGCCACCACACTGTTTGTTTTGTTATCTCCCCCCCTTTTCCAGTGTATTTTTAAAGAGGAAGAGGAAGAGGAGGAAGAGGAGGAGATTGGAGTCTCAGAGCAGCTTACCAACTCCTTTCCCTTCCCCTCCCCACATCAGACACCCTGTGAGGCAGGTGGGGCTGAGAGAGCTCTGACAGAAACTGCTCTTTTTCAAGGACAGCTCTTGTCAGAACTATGGCTCGCCAAAGGTCATCCCGCAGCTGCGAGTGGAGGACTGGGGGAATCAAACCTGGTTCTCCCAGATTAGAGTCCACGCACTTAATCACTACACCAAACTGACCACCCTTCTCTCCTGCATGTGGGCTTCCTCTGTCTGTGTGTGTCTCTGCCCCTCGTGGCAGCGATTTTGTGGTCGTGCCCACCACCCCATGTCAGAATTCCAAAGGTGTCCACCACAGGCTCAAAAAGATTGGGGACCCCTGCTCAAGCCAGTAACATTGCTGAGCGAATCTCAAAGGGTGATGAGGCCTGATCAGATGAAGAAGAAGATGAAGAGATGGTTTTTATACCCTAACCCTTCACTACCTGAAGGAGTCTCAGAGCGGCTTACAAACTCCTTTCCCTTCCCGCAACAGACACCCTGTGAGGCAGGTGAGGCTGAGAGAGCTCTGTCTGAGAACTGCTCTTGAGAGAACAGCTCTAAGAGAACTGTGACTGACCCAAGGTCACCCAGCTGGCCGCTCTTAACCATGATACCATGCTGGCTCCCACCAGCCTCAGCCAGCTCTGGCCACCAGTGTATGCCAGCTGCCCTTCCTGTATCTCCCACCCTCGAAAGACATGCCCCAGCACCCCCAAGACCCTTCTCTGCTGACCTTGGGGATCAAATGTAGCATGGCGTCCCCGGTGAGCGAGCCCACAGCCAAGCTGACGAAAGTCTGGATCACGTACTGGTAGGTGCTGATGCAGGCCGTGCAGAGGAGGACCACGATGCCAAAGAGGGCGCACAAGCAGATCAGCAGCGTCGCCAGTGAGCCGTACAGGTACCCTGAAGGGGTGAGGAAGCTGTGATGAAAAATGTGGAGGAGGAGGAGAAGCAGAACTGGGTGGACAGAGGCAAGGCTCCAGATGGAGCAACAAAAATATAGAACACGCATACTGGATGGGGGGTATGCTTCTGGGTAGCAGCGTGTGAGAACAAGATCTTGGGGTAAGAGTGGACCAAAAGTTAAATATGAGCAGCCAGTGTGACGCAGCGACAAAAAAGGCTAATACGATCTTGTTGCAGAAAGGAAGAACTATTCAGACCAAAAAGCTCCCATAGACTGGCCCACTAAGAGGAGGAAGAATCACGCAGGCCACTGATCTGAGGTATCCTGAGGGAGGGTGAGTTGCAAACATTTATTAAACAGAAAGGTGAAGACAGATGGGCAAACAGGAGGCCTCCTTTTTATTGTCTGGCAAGTTTCTAATGCCTTTGCGAGTTGCACAGCTAGCAGGAATTTAACCAAGACAATCTTTTCCCACTGTAGGAATGTATTTCTGAGGAAAAACCTCCCCGTTGAATGTCTGCCTGCCACACGTGCACACGAAAGCTCACACCTTGAATACAACTTTGTTGGTCTTAAAGGTGCCGCTGGACTCTAACTTTGTTCTATGCCTGCCACACAGTTATTAATGGCAGCGGAACCCTGCTCAAAGAGCAGGGGCAACCCTTGTCTGCTGGTGGCTACAAAAAAGCCGATCACCCCTTGTAATGATTTCATGTTTTGGTGTGTGTGTTTCTTTAAATGTTTAGTGTACGTAATATAAGGAGTAATATAAGGAGAGTGACAGAGGGAGATGAGTGTGATGTGATTGGCTGATGGGCAACCCTTGTCTGCTGGTGGCTACAAAAAAGCCGATCACCCCTTGTAATGATTTCATGTTTTGGTGTGTGTGTTTCTTTAAATGTTTAGTGTACGTAATATAAGGAGTAATATAAGGAGAGTGACAGAGGGAGATGAGTGTGATGTGATTGGCTGATGACTGAGAATGTGGGAGGAGGGGTGTCTCAGGTGATTCAGTGTGTTCTTGAAGAGATGAGTGTAGAGCGTTTGTGTGAGAGTCTGTATGACAGAGGAAGCAGCTGGTGTTAAGCCTGAGTGGCTATATGAGAGAGTTAGCCTGTGTGGCTAAGAAAGGCAGAGTTTAGCCTGTGTGGCTATGAGAGAGAGAGAGAGATAAGCCTGTCAGAGTTGAGTTCTGCTGTTTGAGAGACTGTGTGTGACGCCAAGCTATGTTTTCTTTCTTCAACAGTTCAAAAATACCCAGAAACCTATTCTGTTCTTTTATAAATAAATCATCATTTGTTTAAACTTATCCCAGCAATCAGAACAGTCCTTCCTCAGGGCCACAGAGTCCTCCGAAGTGCACAGACACAGGGTCATTCTACCATAACAGAGAGAGTTGGGATTTTTAATTCCTGGTGGCCGCAGAAATCTACTCAGTTCATGTACACAGAGTGTGGTTTAAAGGAGAAACAGTCTCCTCAATAAGCAGGAGGCCACACCCCTCTTCTTCAACTGTTACTAACCTCGAGAAGGAAACATACCAGGATATGGGTGTGGGGGGGGGGGAAGGGGAAACAGCATGGGACAAAATGCTCCACCCCAGAGCCAAATCAGCCCCCCCACACACACTGATGGGAATCACAGCTCTCCCTTAGAACACGCAGCCTGGCTCACGAAAGAATGGCCAAGTGATTTCCGGGGACTCACGTTCCAAATCGGAGAGGCGCCCACCAGCTGGGGACGCCCGCGGGGCGGAGCAAGCCTTGCTGAGTTGCTGCTGCACCAGAGCCGGGCTCAGGCGGGTGAAATCTGCGCGCGACGCCCCTGCGCCATCCTCGATGCCGTAGATCTCAAAGAGGTCGCTGGAGCTGAGGCAGACCTGGAAATGAACGGAAGATGAGTCATTCGTGTCCATGTGGGCCAAACGGACGGAGACTGAGGGTGCCATTTTTTAAAAAAACTGGCTCTTGCCAGGGTGGCTTGAATAGGAATAGGCTCTATAGCAGTTAGTGGGTAAAAACCCATACCTCTCGGCCAATGGTCTGCAATGTGGTGCCCAGGGACGCCACAACGCCCACAAGTACCTTATCTGGTGCCCGCCAAATTTTTTTTTAGAACATGGGCAGGACCAAGGCTTCTGGTTGGCCACTGGTGATGTGCTTGGCTTTGCAAATTTCTAAATCATCATTGGCAGCAGCTGCCACCACACTGCACGGATTGTAGTTTCAACTACCTCTCACATCTATATCAAACAACATTTTTCTCTTGCAAATTTAACTACCGGGGTCCCTTTATATGGCCCAGGGAGAGAGGGAAACCATTCCAAGTTGATGAAGACAGACTCAGGCTGGCCTCTTACCTGCACCAGCAGGACTGTTCACCTTGTGTGGTAGTGGCCTGACCTCCCCGCCGAATGTGGGGTGCAATTTGGCTTGGGACTGCCATGGTATGGTGGAGGGGCTCCTGCCTCCCCCCCCTGTCCCTAAGCCAGTCTTGGCCTCCACGGTGCTCTTAAAAGGAGGAACTCCCCACTCCAAAATGGCTTCAAGTCCTTGTGCTAACTCAGGGAAAATGTAATGTCTAGTGTGGCCTTTAGCCACACGACTCTTTAGAAAATGTGACCTGGACACTAAGCAGTGGGGCCCCGCTTGAGCAGATGGCAACAGATTCTACTCCTTACCGTGTCCCAGATTTTATACTGGAGGTCCTGCTCCCCTGAACTAGGCAAGCTTCGCCTGTGACGGACCGTTTCATCACCATGGTGGTGGTCCGTCTCGTTGCCATGGTGATGGTCCGTTTCGTTGCCGTGGTGATGGTCCGTTTCGTTGCCGTGGTGATGGTCCGTTTCGTTGCCGTGGTGATGGTCCTCGTGGTCGCCATGATCATGCCCGTCATGATGGCTGTGTGTGGCATCCTCGTGGGGGTGGTCGTGCACGTGGCCGTCGTTCGCGTGGCTATCGTGTGTGTGGCCATCGTGTGTGTGGCCGTCATGCGCATGGTCATCGTGCGCATGGTCGTGTTCTGCATCACTGTGGTCGTGATCTGCATGGGCCGCCTCAGGCCCCACATTCAACTGTATCATCATTTTGGACAAGTCTGTTGCAAACACAGAGAGAGACAGACGTTGAGAAAAACAACCCCCTGGCTCTTTGCCTGGCCCCTTACCATCTTTACATAAGAACGTAAGTGGAGCCCTGCTGGATCAGACCAGTGAGGGTCCATCTAGACCAGCATCTTGTCTCACACAGGGGCCAGCCAGTTCCTCTGGAGGGCCAGCAACAGGGCAGAGAGGCTGAGGCCTTCCCCTGAGAAGAACATCAGAAGAGCCCTGCTGGATCAGACCAATGAGGGTCCATCTAGTCCAGCATCCTATCTCACACAGTGGCCAACCAGTTCCTCTGGAGGGCAGACAACAGGGCACAGAGGCTGAGGCCTTCCCCTGAGAAGAACCTCAGAAGAGCCCTGCTGGATCAAACCAGTGGTCCATCCAGTCCAGCATCCTGTCTCACACAGGGGCCAGCCAGTTCCTCTGGAGGGCCAGCAACAGGGCAGAGAGGCTGAGGCCTTCCCCTGATGTTGCCTCCTAGGACTGGGATTCAAAGGCTTAGTGCCTCTGAATGCAGAGGTTCCCCTCAGACACCATGGCGAGTAGCTAGACAGTCATACCTTTTATTGGCATACTCAGACATAGTACAAAATAGGAACAAGCAAAATATACAGGTCAAGATTAAGAACAAATATATATAAAATTTATGGCGAGACATGCCGCTCATAAATTTTAATAAGACTTCTCCAGGAATTTACTAACAGCCCTTGTGATTTCTATTTCATTACCTTTTAATAAGTGACGATAGTCAATCTCATTTACCAGATAACAGGGAGGGAGGGAGAGATTACCAAACAGTTCCCTCCGGGGATTAGAATATAGCTGACAGTCCAGCAATATGTGTTGGATGGCATCTGGAATATTTGCCCCACAAGGACAGACTCTCTATATGGAATTTGGAGGAATCTACTTTAAACAACGTTTGAAGGAAAGGAATCCATCCTAGCCAACATAAATGCTCTCCTTTGTTGGGGTCTTTCAAGATCACATAAATAGTTGGCCATTTTCCCAATGGGTTGAGCAAGACCGGGGGTCATTTCCTGCAGGAGCGCACAGGAGCAGAGCTCCGGCAGTAAAGAGCCCAGGGGGCGGGCACATGCAACAAGCCCCGCCCCCTGATCCCAGCAGCCCTCAGTCAGAGCAAGAAGCAGCCAGGTAAGTTGCAGAGCCTCCCCCCCGGCCCCCTGGCCCAAAACAGTCCAGTGGCACCTTTAAGACCAAGTTTTATTCAAGTACAAGCGCTCCCTCCTCGGCAAGGACAGATCTGCACGTCCCCCCGCCCCCAATAGCTAGCAATCCAAAACAGTCCAGTGGAGCCTGAGCAGTGGGTGTCAGGGGGGCGTGTCATATGCAAATAAGTTATGTTAATGAGTTATGCTAATGAGCTCCTGCACCTCTTTTTCTATGAAATGACCCCTGAGCAAGACCAAGCGCCGCAGGCGAGCATATATAATACTGAACAGGACATAACTTAGTAAGTTCTAAATCAAGGTGCCTCTGTTTAATTAGTCTAAAATTATAGGATTCATAGGATAGGAAGAAGTCTTCCACTGCAATTCCTATGTATTTAAGCTTATCTATAATCCTGCTGCGGTGGCTCAAGTGGATAAGACGCTGAACTGCAGGCTGTGGAAGGCTGGTAGTTCAGCAGTTCGAGACCCGAGTGTGCCGCATGACGGAGTGAGCTCCCGTCTCTAGTTCCAGCTCCTGCCAACCTAGCAGTTCGAAAGCAAGAAATGGCAAGTAGATAAATAGGTACCACTTCAGTGGGAAGGTAACAGCGTTCTGGGCGCCTTGGTGTTTAGTCATGCCGGCCACATGACCACGGAAACGTCTTCGGACAGCGCTGGCTCTTCAGCCTTGAAACGGAGATGAGCACCGCAACCCTAGAGTCGGACTCGACTGGCTTTCGAGCAAGGGAACCTTTACCTTTATAATCCTGCCCAACCACACAGCATTATAAGGGTCTTTTTTTAAGACAGCTAAGCAAGCTATCCGATTCTGCCCTGTAATAAATTTGAAGCCAATATTTAAAGGTTAAGACCCATCCTCCATGAATCTGTCTAATCTCCTTTCGCCCACATTTTGATCACTCTCTGTCAAGTCGTATTTCCTTCTGTCCAGCCTCATCCCCACTGCCCATCAGTTTCACTGGAGGCCCTCAAGTTCTAGTATTTTGGGAGAGGGAGAAATTCTCTCTCAAAGGGTAATCACCGTCCATCCCAACCACACTGGTAATTCCAGATCTCCGGGCCCCACCTGGAGGTTGGCAGCCCTGCTCTTCCCCCCTCCCAAGGTGCACACGAGCGCTGAACACAGTTCCCAGCACCATTTCTTAGTCATTAATTGCCACGCCACAGCCAGAAGCCTCTCGGAGAGGCTGAACGAAGTCGCGGGACCTCCACCACAGGGTGAGGCAGCGTCCACCAGCTGAAGACCAAACTAGTCCAGACAGCGGGAGGGATATAATCAGAACTCCTGTGGTCTTTCTCAGGCGATTTGTGGTTATATGTTTTCTCTCTCTCATCTGGAAAACTCCTCATCAAAATATTTTTGAAGAGTAAAAAGCAGCTGCAGCAGACCTCTGTCAAGGCCACAGGAGGGGAGGGGAGGGGAGGGTAGCAGGCCGTTTCCCTCATGCAAATCCCTCCTGAGCATGTGGGGACACACAGAGGCTTCATATGGGGCAGTGGTATGTGTTCCAACACCAGGCAGATAATAGCACCAGAGGGAAGGCGGAGTCAAGAGGGAGATGCCCTCCACCTGCACCATGCCCTGAGCCAACTTTGGTGGGGGAGGAAGCACTGTCAAGTCTCAGCCAACTCATGGCAACCCCGTGGGGTTTTCAAGGAAAGAGAGGAAGAGGGGTGGTTTGCCATTGCCTGCCTCTGCGTAGGGACCCTGCCTGGCCTTTTGGTGTAGTAGTTAGGAGTGCGGACTCTAATCTGGGAGAACTGGGTTTGATTCCCCACTCCTCCACATGCAGCTGCTGGTGTGACCTTGGGTCAGTCATAGGTTCTTTCAGAGCTGTTCTCTCCAGGGCAGTTCTCGGGAGAGCTCTCTCAGCCCCCACCTACCTCACAGGGTGTCCGTTCTGGGGAGGGGGAGGGGAAGGAGATTCTAAGCGACTCTGAGACTCCTTCGGGTAGTGAAGGGCGGGGTATAAATCCAATCTCTTCTTCTTCTTCTTCTAACCAGGGCCAACCCTGCTCAGCTTCCGAGATGATGGGAATTGGCTAGCCTGGGCTACCCAGCTCTCGGCAACCGAACTTTTTGTAGTAGTAGAATCATAGACTTAGAAGGGACCTCCAGGGGCATCTAGTCCAGCCCCCTGCACAAGGCAGGAAATTCACAAAAATCTCCCCCCCACGCCCCCCCAGGGACCCCTCCTCCATGCCCAGAAGATGGCAAAAAAAAACCTCGTGTGTAAAGTGCCATCAAGCTAAAGCCAACTTAAGACCACCCTGAAGGGCTTTCAAGGCAAAGGAGGAACAAAGGTGGTTGGCCATTGCCTATCTCTGCAAACCAACCCTGGACTTCCTTGGCGGTCTCCCATCCAAATACTGACCAGGGCCGACCCTGCTCAGCTTCTGAGATCTGACAAGAGCGGGGGTAGCTTGTGCCATCCAGGTGAGGGCAACCAAATTTACTCCCTCCCAAATTATGTTAACTTTTTTTAAAGTAGCTTTTTAAAAAGTTTTTTTTTAAAGATACCGTTACATCTGGTTTAGCCTTCAGATGGTCTTGATAAAAGTCGGACTGGACTATCAACGATGGCTAAATGGAACCTCCATGTTCTGGGGCAGTATACCTCGGAATACCAGGCGCTGGGACAACCATGAGGGTGAGGGCAACCAAATTTACTCCCTCCCAAATTATGTTAACTAAAAGTAGCTTTTTTAAAAGTTTTTTTTTTTAAGATACCGTTACATCTGGTTTAGCCCTCAGATGGTCTTGATAAAAGTCGGACAGGCCTATCAACGATGGCTAAATGGAACCTCCATGTTCTGGGGCAGTATACCTCGGAATACCAGGCGCTGGGACAACCATGGGACGCCCATGGCCTTGCTTATGAGTTCCTGGAGGCACTCGACTGGCAAACGTTGGAAACAGCATGCTCTAGTATAGATGGGTCTTTGAACAGGCCCTGGAGGATTCTTCATAGATGTATGCATTTATTCTAAACGCTTATTGCACTGCAAAGAAGCCGTGCCAAAATCAGCCTCTTAAGAAAGAAGGAACAAGAATTAAAGCTTGTTGCTGGGCCCAGGGCTGGACACCCACAGATAGACCTACTCCCCTTGCATTACAACCATCGACGGAGTCGATGCAGCCGCAACCGACTTACCTGCCAGCGTCAGGTTGTGGGTCTCATTGCCGTAGCGCCAATAGATGTAGTCCACAAAGTAGCGCTCCGAAGGGAGAGCGTGGAAACAGCCACCCTTCAGCACGTGGTGGGCCACGGCTGCTAAGACTCGCCCCGCTGGATCAGACGCTACTCGCCTGGAGATCGCTGTACTGTTCTCAAGGATCTGGCCCACTCCTGCGCAGGACTGTAAAGAGGGGAAAGGGCAGGTCAAGCGGCTGGTATGTCGCAGCAGAACACGTTCCGTTACAGGGTAGGACGGAGATACGGCAAGAGGTGGCAGGCAGGACGGACACCAAGAGGAAAAATGTTGAGCCTTAGGTAGGGAAGCAACAGGAAGAAGAACACGCACAAAAAAAATCCCTGTACATTTTGGTGCTTTTTTCAAAGGAGGAGGAGGAGGAGGAGGAGATTGTATTTATACCCCGCCCTTCACTACCCAAAGGAGTCTCAAAGCAGCTTACAATCCCTTTCCCTTCCCGTCCCCACAACAGACACCCTGTGAGGTAGGCAGGGCTGAGAGAGCTCTGAGAGAACTGCTAATGAGATAACAGCTCTGAAAGAACTTGTGACTGACCCAAGGTCACCTAGCTGGCTGCATGTGGAGGAGTGGGGAATCAAACCCGGTCCTCCCAGATTAGAGTCGGTGCACTTAACCACTACACCAAACTGGCTCTCAAAAACAACAACAACAAGCATGAGATGCTTACAGTGGTCATCTTTAAAATGAGGCTCTCGAGGTCTAGACAACATGGCTTTTCTCCAGAAAACATCAGCCAATTTCAGCCGTGAAGATTATAGTAACGTCCTGGAGCTAGGTCTTGAGAGGTTACCAATTGCATGGGAAGGGGGATTTTGCCGGGACAGTCCCCTGGAAATGGGAGCAGCCCTTGGGGCAAACTAGCGAAGGTTACAACCGAACCAAATTGCTTTGTTTTCATTCGAGCTGTTAGCCCTTCGTCAGCCATTTAGGAACCTCACATTCCACCTCAATTCTTTTAATCTTTTCCATCTTTCGCAAAATTGCCTTGGATTTAATTGACGTACCCCTGGGGATTAACCAGGGCCCTGTCATTTAGTTCCTTCCATTCGCTCCTGTTAACCGAAGAGTCAGCAAGGGTTTCTCAGAGAAATTGCATAGGAAGGTTCTGTATGCTGAGTCAGACTATTGACCATCGGTTGAGGCAGGTGGACTGGCAGAATACAGGTCAAGAGGCCTTTTCCCCCTTTTCTTGCATGCTCTTTTAAAGCAGGAGACATCTGGGTAAACACTTTTTTCATTTGTTTTACTTTTTTGGAAGAGGAGAAGAAGAAGAAAGAAGAAAGGAGAAGGAGAAGGAGGAGGAGGAGAAGAAGAAAAAGAAGAAGAAGAAGAGGAGGAGGAGGAGGAGGAGGCGATTAGATTTATACCCCCCTTCACTACTTGAAGGCGTCTCACAGCGGCTTACAATCTCCTTCCCCTCCCCACAACAGACACCCTGAGAGGTAGGTGGAGCTCTTTCGAGGACTACCCTTGTGAGAACAGCGCTGAGAGAACTTGTGACTGACCCGAGGTCACGCCAGCAGCTGCAATGTGGAGGAGGAGTGGGGGATCAAACCCGGTTCTCCCAGATGAGAGCCCGCGCTCCTAACCACTATGCCAAACTGGCTCACTAGTGGTGGCAGTCACATTTCAGAGAGCGCTTGACTCAGCCAGAGGAGACGCCGCTCTGGGTCCACGCTGACATTCCATTCTGCCCCCAGGAGCCACCTGCGGTGGAATCTTCCCTTCCGTGCACCTCTCGGGGTGTCGTCACCTGCTCATTTCAGCACAAACCATCACTTAATGCAGGCTGAGGTCGAGACCAGAGAGGCTTAATTTTTAAATGTGGTCGTTTTCAGCCACTTCCAGGTATCTCTTGCTCACTCTGGAGCCAGATAACAGACAGGCGATGCTGAAGAACGATTGTGTGGGAGAAGGAGGAGGAGGCGGAGGAGGAGGAGGACGAAGAAGAGGCGGCGGCAGAGGAGGAGGAGATTGGATTTATACCCTGCCCCTCACTCGGAGTCTCCAAGCAGTTTACAATCTCTTTTCCCTTCCCCTCCCCACAACAGCCACCCTGTGAGGTAGGTGGGGCTGAGAGAGCTCTTTCCAGAACTGTCCTTGAGAGAACAGCTCTGACAGAGCTATGGTTTGCCCAAGGTCATCCAGCAGCTGCATGTGGAGGAGTGGGGAATCAAACCCAGTTCTCCCAGATTAGAGTCCGCGCACTTAACCACTACACCGCTGGCTTCTAATTTATTTGACTTATCTCCCACTCCTTTCCCCGCAAGCAGGACTCAGGGTGGCCTCCAACAATCGATGTACCTGAACGTCAACATTATCGCAGTTTTAAAATCCATATTATTACAGGTTAAAAATCTAATCGTCATTTTACTGTTATCAGATGGCGCCCCAACAATCCATCCCAAGTAGGCAAAAGGGGTGACAAGATGGCACAGAGGGACTCCAGGCCCAGCGCTAAGGTGGAAAACAGCTCTAAAGAGAAAGGGGCGGGGAGGAGGGAGGAGGCCAGCTGATCTCTCTAACTGAGCTTGCATTTAAAGCGAGGTAGACAAAGGCATGACTAAAGTGACCAAATAGAGCCTCCATGTTCAGAGGCAGTGTAACGATTCCATGTTTTACTGTGTGTGTGTGTGTTTAAAAGTTGGTTGGTATGGCTGTGTGGGACAATCTAGAATGCTGAAACAGGCAAGTTGTGTGATTGGTGAGTGACAGAGAGGGGGGGCGGTTTGGAATGGATGCTGTGTGGATGATTTGAATGTCTATCAGGAGTGACTGTTAGAGTTTAATCAGTTTATGATGACAGTTGAAAAAAACAGTTAGTCAGAGGAGAGTGCTGTGTGAAAACAGTTGTTAAGTTTCTGTCTCTGAGTTGAAGAAGACTCATCCCTGTGTGGGAAAGATTTGTTTCTGTGTAGAAAAAGAGTTAAGCAGTTTGTTCGTTTTAAGGTCTGAGAGAGAGAAGTCTTGTGTGTGTTATGAAAAGTTAAAGCATAAAGAAACAGTAACCATATATGGCCTAAGGAAAATATTGTGACAAAGTGACATGCCCTGATCCCTGTCAATAAGAGGGAAGAGTGTGTGAACATCAAATAAATCTATTTTTATTTAAGATACAAGTTCTGAAAGAAACCTTCCTCAAGAAACACATAGTCCCTCATGAATGCCTAAGACCTATGGTACACCTACCCTGTAAAAAATATTAAAGGAAAAGGCTGGGAAAGCCTAAATTTCCCTGGTGGCAGCTGGATACCCAAAGTAAAATATAACATAAGAACATTTTAAAGTAAAACTAGACCTCCCCAAATAAGAGGTCGTCACAGGCAGTAATAGGGTTGCCATCCCCCCAATGGGGGCAGGGTTCCCCCTGCTTTCGGGGGGCCCAATCCGACACCACCCAGCTGGCCGGTGGGGGAGCCCCACCCTCAAAGAGCTCTGGCGTGCCTGGTGGGCTCGGCATGGTGACATCATTGTGCTGGGCATGCCACACAGAGGGCGCTCTAGCATTTGGTGACCATAAGAGTTATGGTAGCCATAGAGTTTTCCCCCAAATGCCAGAGCATCCCTGCACAACATGACCGGTGCGATGATGTCACTACACAGTTTGGTGTCGTGGTGAAGTGCGCATACTCTAATCTGGGGAAACCGGGTTTGATTCCCCACTCCTCCTCCACTCGCACCTGGCTGGATGACCTTGGGCAAGCCTAGCTCTGATAAGAGCCGTCCTTGAAAAAGAGCCGTTTCTGTCAAGAGCTCTCTCAGCCCCGCCTACCTCACAGGGGGTGTCTGTTGTGGGGAGGGGAAGGGAAAGGAGTTTGTAAGCCGCTCTGAGACACCTTTGGGTTGTGAAGGGCGGGGTATAAATCCAATCTCCTCTTCTTCTTCATCAAATGAAAGCCAGTCTGGTGTAGTAGTTAAGTGTGCGGACTCTGATTTGGGAGCACCAGGTTTGATTCCCGCACTCCTCCACTTGCACCTGCTGGATGACTTTGGGCAAGCCATAGTTCTGGCAGAGCTGTCCTTGAAAAAGAGCAGTTTCTGTCAAGAGCTCTCTCAGCCTCACCTACCTCACAGGGGGTGTCTGTTGTGGGGAGGGGAAGGGAAAGGAGTTTGTAAGCCGCTCTGAGACACCTTTGGGTTGTGAAGGGCGGGGTATAAATCCAATCTCTTCCTCCTCCTCCTTCTTCCAGTTGATGTCATCGCGGTGGACAAGCTGAAGAGTCCCGGACAGAGGACTGGACCCCCCCACACTGGCAGCCAGGTAAGACCTGACAATCCTAGGCGGTAACCTGGGGGGGAAACAACGGGAGCAGGCTTTGGCCTCCGTGCCCTGCTCACAGGGCATGGGAAAAACTGCTTGGCCACTGTGAGAAGCAGCGTGCTAGACTAGATGGGCCCTTGCCTTGATCTACTATGACAGCTATTCTGTTTGTATGTTTGCTTGTGCGGGCTGCCGTTATTCTTACCTCCCGGCTCACGGTGTTTCTCTGGATGGTTCCCATCAGTTCAGCCACTTTCTCTTGCGTGGGTCCTCCAGCGGGGTTCCCGCCTAAGAATTTGGCCTGGAATGCATGGACTGCAGCAACCCAATGACCCTCTGCCACTTCCTGGCAGGCCTCCACAGGGTCACTGAAGTAGAATACCAGGCCGGAAGAGAACGGAAGCAGCTCTGAGGAGGCGAGACTGGCATTGTCGGCTGGCGGCTTCTTCCCCGTGAGTGCAAAAATATCTGCCGCAGAGATGCACTGGAAAAAGAGGAAGAGACAGAGAGAGAAAGCAGAATTATGCTTATCTGATGAAGAAGGGTATGAAGCTCCAAAGCTTGCAAATTATTACATGACACTCAGGGGTCATTTCATAGAAAAAGAGGTGCAGGAGCTCATTAGCATACTTATTTGCATAGGCCACACCCCCTGACATCACCGGAAGTGTGTCAGAAGGCAACACCCACTGCTCAGGCTCCCACTGGACTGTTTTGGATTGCTTTGGGGGGGGAATGTGCAGGTCTGTCCTCGCAGAGGAGGGAGAGCTTATACCTGAGTAAAACTTGGTCTTAAAGGTGCCACTGGACTGTTTTGGACTAGGGGGGGCTCTGCAATTTACCTGGCTGCTTCTTGCTCTGACCGAGGGCTGCTGGGAGCAGGGGGTGGGGCTTGTTGCATGTGCCCACCCCCTGTGCTCTTTACTGCCGGAGCTCCGCTCCTGTACGCTCCTGCAGGAAATGACCCCTGATTGACACTAAAAGTGATCTGCTTCAATATTTTCCATCTCTAGAGCCAGTGTGGTAGAGGTGTCAGAATGTCAGACTGAATCTGGAAGACTATTAGCATAACTCATTAGCATGACTTATTTGCATAGGCCACACCCCCTGACATCACCAGAAGTGTGTCAGAAGGCAACACCCACCACTCAGGCTCCACTGGACTCTCTTGTATTGCTAGCTATTGGGGTGGGGGAACGTGCAGATCTGTCCTCGCAGAGGAGGGAGAGCTTGTACCTGAATAAAACTTGGTCATAAAGGTGCCACTGGACTGTTTTGGCTCTGCAACTTCCCTGGCTGCTTCTTGCTCTGACTGAGGGCTGCTGGGAGCAGGGG